TTCGGGGGGGCCACTCCATTGCTATCTTATCCGTAGTACTAGAGAGCAGTTCTTTGGGCTATCGAACACTACGATAAGAATAAGTGAACGACTCATTTCGAGCGTACTTTTGATAAGGACCGGTGGATGTCCTACATTCCACACTACCTGCCCACATCCCATCCACTTTTCTGCACAGGTGATCCACCCTGGAGCTCCTGCACCCTTAGCCCTTTGCGGAGGTGTCCTTTCTCCTGGTCCAGGACCGTTCCCTTGGGTCATGGCAGGCGGAAATGTGAAAACGTTTCAGGGTTTCTCACCCATTACACAATATTTATCAGAAGTCTACTTTAAATGAGTCGATTACGTGTCGTGAGCCCTCTAATCCTTATCTTGAGTATTGGAGAAAAAATGGAGTGGCCACAGGTTACACACATTGACCACACTCGACGCGACACTACTCTACGAGCACCACTGCAATTATCGTGACTAAGGAAACCAATCGAAGCAGCAAGACTTTGGCGTATTTACAGGTGCAGACAGCTCTTTTGCGCAGTTTACTCGTAATCGCTCACATAAAGCTCTTATTGCAGCAGGAGTGTATTACTCGGCATCGACTTCGTCCAAGGTGGTTGTACCTGATCCATGGATAATCAGACAATGCGCACTTATGCCTGTGACGTGCGTAATTATTAGAGAGTTATCAATATCTGTTTAGTCACGGCCTCACCCCTTGTGAACGACACATCTAACAAAAATGGTTGAGGGTGTGAGTGAGAAAGGCTTTTCAGTCGGGGCACCTACCATGGCCATTTTGCCATGGAAAAAAGTTATACCATCTACAGACTGCGCTTTGAATAAACTAGTCACTTCAATTGTCCCTTCCCTCGACGTTCAATCTGGAGCTCAATCACGGACGGTGGGCTGTCACCACATATGATCCATCACTGAAATGTGCTGCCTAATACATGGCCAAAGAAGACTAATCATCTTTTCTAATGCATAAGGCAATGTTCCCTTCGCAGAGAGAGTGTTAGGGTTTCTGATGACATGATATCTATCTACACGCAGGGGGGGGCAAAAAAGAGTCAATCTGTATGGAACGGGCTATTGACTTGCACGAATGATGACATAAGATGGTTTTCGTGTCTGAGACGCAGAGATATCCGTCTTTTAAATGAATGTTTTACGATTAACGGACCTAATTCCTCTGGTGTCGCCCTCTATAGCAGAAGGGCAGCCTCCTCCTTCACTAGTGCCCACTTTCGATGAAAGCACACACCGGTCCATATCAGAATAATGACGGTCATCTGCCGTCAGCTCTGTCTACTTGTACTCAGCGCGGGGCTTACCGTAGTCGCTGGCGGCTTAGAACGCCGTTTTGTTGAATTCATGATTTCTTCATCGTGGTTAAAAGCACGGTTCGGTGTTTTAAGTAGCAACCGTCCTAGTTAGAGTGTCTCTGATCTCTTCCACAAGATGCAACGACTAAACTGATGAATGTCATGCAATTGACCGCTATATGACTCAAAGCGTTTGATCTAAGGGCGAGGTCGCAATAGGTTCTCACTTACAAGTATCATCGAGAGACGACCTCGTTGAGCTCGTACCGTGGATCATGTTTCCGTGGGAAAATCTTCTGATGTCGTCAGGGTAGAAGGCTGTCATGTAAACTTTTGATAGACTTGAATGTGCTCTTTAATATGCAATTGGGCTCATTTGATTTGGTTTCGCTGTTTGTGATAATTGCGTTTTGAACGTGTAGACTCTGCAACGAAAAATGACTCCTTTTTTTGCCCCCCTCCTTAGTTACATACTCTGCAACGTCACCATAATTTGCGCGCTGCATGATACTTTACACAATTTACTGCAATTTGCCGCTTATTCTGCCTGCCATTCTTATCTTTTTTTTGCGACTATATAGTGGTACTTTCCATGGCACCAAGTGATGATAAAAAGCGCTCCATTGGATTTGCAGACGGCTCCTTCTAGGAAATCACTGAAGTTATGAGAAGCAAATGAAACTCTTACGTGGGAACACGACCAGGGGAGAAGCCTATTACCAGGCTGAGGAAAAGCTGCTTGACGTCCCTCTGAAAAACACTTCGGAAAAAATTTGTCCTACCGCCTATTGGTTCAGAATTATTCTATTCTCGAAGTCTCATGTTGATCTAAATGTGTAATAAACAATGTGAGACTTCGAAATTCTATTGCAAAGGCTTAAAATTTTTACAAATAAATTGCAAAATTGTGTGATTGCAAAAGTTTTGCAAAAGCTAAGGTCTTTTTGGCTTGACCTCCAAATGGTGGACTTTCACATTGATTTCCATGATTGTAACAGCAAAAATCTACGCTGAGGGCTTGAACAAAGCATGAACTGCTTCCAAATATCAGATATTCGGTAGAAGGAATTCTCCACAGGAAATTCCCAATACAAATGCTCCTATGAGCTTATGCCAAAAAAGGCGAAGGTGATTCTAAGAGCTTTTAGCTGCTTTCTTTCTGCTGAGAGACTTTTTTTCGTCAAATCAGAGGACTCTCTAGCTTTGCCGTATCATTGGCTCGATGACGAAACGAATTGAGAGCCATAGCAAAACGAACAGCGGCCCTTTCGAAACTTTACGGCACACGGCTTTGTACGGCGAGAGGAGTGTTGGTCCCGGTTTACAGAGCTTCAACGTTTTATTTAGTTTTCTTCTTTACTTCAGCCATTTGATGGCTCTGCTGCGTCCATTAGCGTCTCTACGCCAAATTAATCGTGTCCTTGCCTGTGTCTCAACTTTGTATGGCGGCTTTCAAACCTGGTCATTTTAAAGCCTGGAAACCCATGACCTTAGAGTGAAAAGGACTGATTTCTCTTGAAATATCGAGTCGAGTAAGCATTTCGACGTAAAGCAATATTTTCCAATAGAATGGAAGTTGTTTCATTATTTTTACAAACGGCGTTTCTCGACCAGTCTTTGCTGAGTAGAAAGAACTTTAAAAAAATTATTTAGGCAATTTTGGCCGGATGTCATCCAAACTACTCAAGCTGATCGCACTTTTCTCACGGGCTATCGTGACAGCACTACTTGAGAAAGTGCTGTGCCATTGTTATCATGCTAACTGTAAAATAGCGACTTGTGCCGACGAGGGAACATTCTTCTGTTCACTTTAGATTGCCGACAGGTACTTTGACAGAGAGAGAGCTGCTCGGAGCTGTCTAGAGATTTTACTTCGAGTCTCTAATTGCTAAACAAATTATCGCACTTCATAGGGCGATTTTGATGCGAAGTTTGAAAGAATTCCGGCTGGAGTACGAGTTCGCGCTCCATCCATTAGCTAGCGATTGAGTTTTCTACGGCACTGTCCTGATGATTCTCCTTATAACCACAAAGTTGTTTGCCGTTGCTGGCTTGCGTCGTCATTTTACTCACCGTATCATTGATCACGTAGCACAGGTAACCTCGATAAATACTTATAGAGAACATCCAGATTCTGCGAACGCCCATGTCCCCTGTAAATTACAGACACATGGCAGTAAAATTAATTGTGACCTTGATCCCATCAAGTATCAAAGCTAAAAGAGATCGAAAGGAATTTTTAATTTGGTTTCGTTTGTTAACTGCTGTTTTTGGCAGCAAGTCGCCTTGCGAATCGTTTCCAAGAATGCTAGGTTCTGAATGAAACTTCCGCCGAGGATTTCGTTACATACGTGGACCTAGCCGAACCGCGACACTTTTTGCTCGCCGGAGCAAGTAGCGCCTCCAGTTCCGCTAGTTTAAACACAAGGTAGCGCGAAAGATTTCGATATCAAGGTTCAGGTGATTACTCGAATGGTTCATTATCACGTAGAAGTTCACTCCTTATAATACGTATATGAAGACTTCAGAATTGACTGACACATGAAAATGTACTATTGAACAAATGTCAGGATATAGCATTATCACAGTGACCTCTGTCATCAAGTGTCAAGAAGCTAAATAAGGTTCGAAGAGTTTTTAATTTGTTATCGTTTGTTAACTGTCTGTGGTTTTAAACTCCTAAGGGACACGTGCGAACGAGCTAGTGAAGGTCACATGGCATTTTTTGTGACTAAATCTCTTGATCCGACCAGCCACTATACTAAAATGTTCGACAAAAATACCAATTAACAAATATTAGTAGATCCGAAAACAACTTCGGTTTTATCCATCGATATGAATCAACTAAATCTTTCAACACAACCCCTATTTTCTTTTATTTGCTCCCATAAATAAAACATAAGAAAATATGGCGCTGCCCCAGTAGACGACAGTGCTTAGGCAATCCATGTCTCTATGTTCTGACTGACAATGCAATACTTCTCGCTTACAGCCTGTAAGAGGTGCTTTAGGTCTGAGAGATAGATCATAAATAATGTGAGAGGGATGCCATTCAGTGGAGACTAAGCCGATGTTCAGTTGTGAGCATCATGTGTGGTTTATCCGTCGCAGGCTGGTTTTCAAACACGCGGCTCCAGGGTGTGAGAAATGAGCTCGTATGTGCAAAATTCATCGAGCTACCTGCGCCACACTTCGCACAAGGGTGATCCAATTGTATTTGACGACAACCTATCCTAGTCTGGCTCTTGAAAGCTTCGTAATTTTGAGAGTGGTCGATTATCTGCTCACTGTCTATATGACAGTATAATGAATTTTGATTCCGTTAGGATGAGAGAATTGTGTAGGAGGGATGCATATTTACTTGTTATTGTACTTACTTTATGACATAATGTTTATCGTCTAAACACATCGGAAACAGCAGTAGGCTAACTCTGAGCACCGTCTGTGACCGGATAAGTACAATTTGAATGCGTAACTAAAATATCACGTCTTGCGCCCGACCTACTGCCCATGGCACAAGGCAATAAAACTGATCGGCAGTATTAAATGGTCTTCAACTCACGACTAAAACTAAGGATCTTTGGGAGGAATATTACTGGCTCAACGCATGGATCCGTTTTTCATTATAGTGGCATTATTCAGCAATGAACGTTTTTAATGTTTCAGGCAGAGTACGACATGAGCTCGAAGAAAGAGATGAAATTGGCTGTCAGAGCAAGAGTGTGCTATAACCTGGACCGAAAGGAAATGTGGCCAAGGTATATTTCATCTCTCAAAGCGAGAGATCTAGGCTACAGCTCCGCTAGAGAGGCCGCCTTCCTCGTGCGTAGAGTGCTGGTCGCAACAATAGAGGTAACGCTTTGAAGAATCAGTGAGCAATCTAAACGCTCAGTAAGGAAAACTATGATCCTAGAACAAAGAAGCCTCTGTCCCTAGCTTGTTCTATACTTGTATGATGTATTGACCATGCTGGCTCTCTCTCTCTTCTCTACTCGTACTTACTTGGCTCCTACTTTCGCGCACTGAATCTCTGCATCTCGTTGTCTTCTTTGATGGCTTAACCCGCTAGTACTCTCCAATTCTTTGTAATTATTACTCACCACTTACCATTCACGGCTCAAAACTAATTCCGAGTGGTTTTGGTGTGCTTGATATTTTTCTTAACTGCAGGTTGGTCTTGGATGTCTGTTGGTGTCGACGTTGCCGTTCCTTGCCTACTCCATCGTTTGTTTGAATCCAATGAAGTCCGACTTCAACGTACACCTTCATTTTGAAGGCAGACTCTTCGGACCCAACCCTTTTCTGTCAAGCCATGGGCTTTCTTTCAAACCTTTCTTTCATCTCCTCGTACTTTATTTCGATTCTTCTTTGTTTTTTTAGAACGCCGAAGTTGACAATAAATAGCAAACTTATAAAGCTATTCCCTCTTCTGCATCACATCCTCGTAGAAGTAAAAGTACAATTAATTTAACAGACACCACTTTGACCTGCAAAGGGACATGAGCAGACGATCATGTGAGAATGCGGATGTGCGCACTCACAGGTCAGGCGACGCAGCAGCTTTCACCGCTCGTGGTAGAAGTTCCACCTATTGTCTGAACATCTGGGCTGTTCAGCTTTTACGCTTTAGACATCATCTGACCCAATGGTCACAGCATGAAAAAAAATGAAAAAAAATCCTGGCCAGGCCCCCCCATAAATTTCAATCAATAACGATCATTTTGTGGCAAAATTTCTTCTGTTCTATATTTCTGCTTTGGATGGACAAATAGTCAAAATCGTCTTCTTTTTCATAAGAAAACCTTATCAGAAAAATGATGATCTCCAATACCACCCCCAAAAGAATCACCTGCTGAACCCCATCGTCGACACGATAATTACGAAAAAACAATCAGATCACAAAAATTTCCAACTTGTATTTGGCTCCGATTGTGAAAAATTGAAGAACGGACATACTCTGTCACAAACTGCTGGCGGCGCTAAACTCTCCCACTTGGTTCACAAAGTTTACTCTTTTTGACCTTTCGATTTATTCCATTAACGTTTCGCGCTTCTACTGCAACCTATTCTATCGGTCGTTTTGTATCTACTCTCCAAAATCGCGCGTTTTAATACGATTCTTTCCAATGCGTGGCCTGATGCGGGGCCGAAACAAGGCGCGCTTCTTCATGCCTCGCCTTTGGTGCCGTGCGCCTACCTCCCGAACGCCGACTGTCCTCTAGGATGCTCTGGCTAAAGTCCGCAAGCTTGTTTTTCTTTTCGAAACAGACTGGATCTTCGTCGCCGTGAAATTTTTCTGCTATTTCTTTCTCTAATGATCATTACTTGACATATTCATTTTTAAAAGAAAGCAAAAAGATTCCGCGAAGGTAAAAATATCTTTAGTGTTTGCGGGCCCCCCCGCTCGGAGGTAAGCCTGCTTTCCCCGATCTGACGCCAGTTTCCCGACTAAATTCCCGATCGAGAATAGACCGCCGACAGACCGTAAAGCTGACAACACGCGCCCCCCACCCGCACAAGCCGCCGAGTAGTAGAAGCAGTAAAAACCTTAGGCAGACCTGAGTAAAGGGCATCCCGATAGTCTGACGCTAGTTTCCCGACTAAATCCCGATCGAGATAGACGCCGACTAACCATAAGCTGACAAACGCGCCGAGTGGGTAGAAGCAGTACAAACCTTAGGAGACCTGAGTAAAAGGGAAACGGAACATGGCAAAAAATGATCGCTAGAGTGTAACTAGCAAATGACCACCCTGGAACAGATTCCAGCAACAAATAGCCCTTCAACTGAACCGACAACTCGAGTAAAAATATGTGAAGGCGCTGTAGAACAAGAATAGGCAAGAACTGCGCCGAGTCGCAGCCGGCGGCGTAATTGTTGAGTCTTCCACGATAGGGGCGGTATGAGAAATTGTCTTGTGATATTAATGGACGAAACGGGAACTCAGTGAAAAACACCTCAAATTGTTGATTCATGTGACGTAAATACTGGTACACTATGAAGCTATTTTAGTTTCGGATAACTACGGGATTGACAGCAAGGTACATAAGTGTTGCGTTAATAGTAACCATTAGATGATGCCTTACCGAAATAGCTTTGAGAACCCCGATATACCCCTACTGCTATACACATCATTTACATATGCCTTTTCTATAAATATTTGCGTAAGCGAAAAGGAGTTACTCGCCAAATGAGCAGGTCTCTGCTTAGCTTGCCTGAAAGCGCAACGGAATTTCATAAGGCCATTTCATTTGTGACGGCTGAAGTTGCAGTGAATAGATAAATGAAGCCAAAAAATAACCAACCAACCAGCCATTTTTGAGTCGAATTTAGTGGACAATGAAAAGGTTACCAAAAGAGCTGGTTCTGATCATTTGATTCAACTGTGAACGCGTCTGACCCGAGCTGCCAGTTTAAATCGTCGTATATTGTGACACGCATGATTTATAGTATATGTTTTTCATGCTTCAACTAAAAAAAACGACTCATAAGCAGTATAGGAGAGTTTTTCGATCCTTTGAACCTTTAAACACTCCACAATGATTAAAGGCAAGCCTCGGATTCACTAGTAGGAAATTACGCCGCGAGTGGATGTGTAAGGTTCGTACGTAGGAAGGTCCTTTCTGCTTTTTCGCAAAAAAAAATTTGCGCTTAGAGCACTGATCTTGGCTGACTCGCAACCATCGACCCCCTTTGCAGCCCTCCCCACCCATCGTGACTGCCACAGAGATGTAGTGGTCAGCGTTCAGTCCCTTAAGACGTGCCCTCTCACTTGGTTTCCTTACCGGAAAGTTTAAGCCCATAACTTAGCCAAAAGGGTCAAGCCATAACTTTAGAGGTTTTCGATGGGTTTTCTGCTTCCCTCCTACATTTGTACAGTTCCTCCGCAGCGCCACTCGAGAAAGCACCCTCTGCACCAGCTTTAGCCTGGGGCTTGCCTTTAAATTTCTTAGAGCTGTTATTTTCAAGAAAAAAAATTATCTCAAGCTCATCCTCCCTGAGAGGATTTGCAGGATTCGATACGATCTCTAGCGCTTGTGTCATTCCGTTCCTGTGCTTCTTCGACCCTTCAATTTGGAAATTATATATGTGCGCTGGCTCAAATAGTCATTTTCAGAACAATTAAACGTTCGAATGCACCTGATACAATTTCGATTGCAATAGCTATCTATTCAAAATTTGCGAACATTAGGTAATTTCTCCATTTCTCTTCACCCCTCTTGTCCCTAGAGGCTGGAGAGACGACTAAAGGCGCCCGCCAGCTGGGGAACGAATCGGACTACGAGGTCAACAATGAAGAATGAAACTAGGGTAAACAGCCTCAAATCCACAAGACTGTGATTTCTACTTTTTATCTCCCCGTTGGGCCTGGTCACTTCGGTGTCGAATTCATCAATTTCAACGCTCTGCTCTGCCCTTCTCCTGTAACGGGCTAAAGTCGAAGCGAGGTGCCAGCAGCTGTGATGTCGATCAGTGGAAGGCAAGGGACGAGGACGTGCAGAAAAAATGGGTAAATCCTTGCGATGTCGTTCCAAGCCCCTCTTTCGCATGAATGTAACACCTATAGGTCCTTTAAAGGGATTAGCCTCAGTAGTGGGAAGGTTTCCGTGATTGTAGAGTCCCTCCCTACAAAAAGGGCGCTGCACGCCCGTCTCACAAAGATGCGCGCGTTAAAGGCACTCGATCGGTTAAGGAACTGCAACGATCGGCTCTTTTTGCAACGCTTCCCAACCACCGTATTGGGGTGGGGATCAGCGCGCTCTCCCGAAAGGTGGTGCTCTTGCATGTCGTCTGTTTATCTGGGACGGTAGCAAAGTACCCTTAACTCGCAATCAGAAGTAACGATCGGAGATTCTAAGCAAAGAATAAAGAATGGAGAGTGCGATCCAGCCCAGATCAAGCAAGAGCTTCCTACTTTAGATTTCAGACGACAAAATATCAGGAAACGAAAAAAAGAAAAAAAAGGTTGCAAAAGTACCTGAAGATTATGGATCGCAGCTGCATTCTTTGATTCCTAACAGGTTGAGCTGGTCAGAGAAGAAAAAAGAGCACGGGATTGAAGAGGCGCAGTCACCACGTCTGACACGTATGACCCTCCAGTAAAAAGTCCTTCGGAGTACTTTTTACTCGTGGGTCAACGTGGCGTCTGCGCCTCCTCGACCTCACACTATTTCTTTTCTCTGCCTAATTACGAATAGGTTTACAGTTAACTCTCTAACTACTAATTAAAATGGTTTTTTTGGTTATGATCTAACTGTAGGTTAAACAAGACTTAATGTGTTGAGAAGCGCTCTGAACCTGTTATCTAAACTGACTTTAGTCTGAGCTAATCTCGACACGTTAAGTCTGAATTAATGAAGGTTTGCTACCGTCCCTGATCGCTTTGTCTCGTCGTCGTAGATCATCCTTACTGATGGTCAGTGCTGAGGGTCACACTCTTGGCAGCCAAGTAACTGCTTCGTGTGGTGCATGTGCTTCCCCGGTTCACTCCCTCTTTATCGTAGTCGCTTCCTCGCTTCCTTCAAACGCGTTTCTCGCTCTTCCTAATGGTCTGAACCTTTGCACGATTTTCTTCTTCCACCTGAATTTGGAACCGGAAAGTACTCCCGATATCAACTGTGCATTTAGTTCCAAATCCACAGCAGGGTGAATATCGGTCGAGGAAATCCTCGACAGGGGGGTCGTACCTGTCGGGCTGGTCTGGGGGGGGGGGTCGTACTCTTGGGGGTCAGTAACAGCAGTGGTATCGTGGTGCAGATAGGTAAGAGGGTATAGCGCAGCAGAAAATGAAAATATCTGAAAAAAACATGATATTAAATTTTCTTTGCAGGTTCAGTCGCTCCATTCCTCCACCTTCATGAGAAGGGCGTATTTGAAGGCAGTACAAAGAATGAAAGTGCATCCCCGCAAAGAAGACTGCCACATGTGCGCACGCGCTGCAAAGGCACCTCCTCTGCCTATCGCTCGCTCCTTCTCCCTTAATACCTCGCTGAGAATGACACTGTTGTTAGGGACCCTGTCGCAAAAACGACAACCGTGAAGGAAAAGCCCTGGGCAAATGAAGTTGTTCTTTAGGTTGTAAGAGTTACGAAATGCGTTTACTACAATGCAGCTTCTGTCAACTGGTCATGATCATATGACACCTTCGAATCGATTCTGCACTTCGAGTGAGGTCGGATGCATGGCCTATACTCAGACAAAATTCGATGATGACGATTGCCCCTTTTCCTATTGCTTATGTTGGGAGGATGTTTTCTAGACCCATTTCAAGCGTTGCCAACAATTACACTTGCAATGGTGAAGAAGGGAGCGGATTTTCAGGTGGCCGGATCCGTCCTCGATACATACTCGACGCAGATATCTTCTCAACTAGGAAATGTAGAAGAAAGCTAAGAAGACCATCAG